GTTTTGAATATGAAACCAAATATATTTCTTTATTTTTATCAAAACTAGTTGTATATCAGTGTTTTAGACAGGTAGAACGACAGACATACGTTTACCTGTCATAAGAAAATCTCAACTCACAACTAACAGCTGTTGGAAGATCATTACTACAACTCATCTATTCGCATAAAAGCAGAATGATATGGCAATACTCAAGATCGTAAAGCCGAGTGATCTAATTTTAATCCTATGAAACGTCATGGAACATTTCCGCTGTTTAAAAAAGATTTGTCAATGTCATTTTTAGCTTCTTGTAGTAGTTAATAAATGCACTTAATGGGAAGATATTTCAAGACTTATTATTAGTATAATGGCTGGAGACGGCTTGAATGAGTAATGAAGAAAAACTTTAATGTAAGTTTAACATAACAGCAAATGTACAAGGTTTTGTCATCATCGAGACGGTGTACATTTGATGTTATGTTAAACTTATATTAAAGTTTTTCTTCATTACCCATTCAAGCCGTCTCCAGCCATTATTAGTCTCAAAGTGGGTTCCTCGTCATCGAATTATTATTAGTATGTTCCAGTAACGTTTTATGTCGGATATTCGCGTAAAACTACACAAGGGCTGCCTGCAGTAGCTATACCTAATTTTTAACTGATACAAACCATAGACCGTCAGGTCCACGGTCCGGCAAGCTAATCAGTGAGCCACACTTTGTCCGTTTCAACAACAACAACAAAAATAAAAGACAAAGCGACGTCATCATGCGATAAATTGTTAGTTTAATTCCACACATGAGTATTTAATAAAATAGTTTAAACCTGTGTATTAAATATTAAAGAATGCTCAAAATAGACAAGGTAATTAAAAGCAAGTCATTATGACATGTAAAATTGGTGAAATATTATATTCTACTCAACCAAAATGCAAGACATGCTTAATTACACTCATTAGTATTTTGTGCGTGGACTGTTAGTTTTCCAGTATTAATTTCCAGAAAATACTTTAAAATATTTCGAATTCATTTTTATATTTTGAGCGGTCTTAAGTTAAAAAAGAACAGCTTCCGTACAGTTATTATACAGAGGGTTGAGCACGTTGTATTAAAATGAGCTTCACCACATCGTCACAATACATGTCACCACGCCTGGTTATGCTCTATCTGATGACCATGCCTATTGAAAATTTTACAATATCTCAGAAGCGTAGTTTCCATTTGCAAAAGGTTCTGCCTTAAGACTGTCATGTCTAAAGCACACCCTTTATACTAACATACTTTCTATGAGCCATCTAGTACACGAGAACGACATTTTCTCAGCGCTCATTTCAATAGTTCTATCACACAGAAATCCAAAAGCGCTTTATCAAACGACTTGACCAATATATCTTGTATAGAATAACATAAATACTTATTTTACTCTCCAGCTGTTCGGGATATGCGAATAATTAAAAATTATTAAAATAATTAAAATAATTAAAAAAAAATGTGGAAGAAACTTGTGTACACATGTGTCGATTTTCCAGGTGCAGATTCTTCTTGATTATAGGTTATGATGTTGACTGGGACAAGTGGACAGCTTTTGCCACTAACCTTTGTGGTTGTGCATTGTCAACTGTTACAAGACACTGTATTTTTTTTTTACAAAAGCGAAAGTACGACTTCTTGTTGGCCTTTTTCTGGATGGTCCTGATTCACCGAGTTCACCCATATTCCTTTGTTTTCAATTCTATTAAGAGTAAAGGATATATTCCTTCTTGAAAATTCTAAATTTCCGATCTTACCACATCTTTATAACCTATATAAATGAATATTTTGGTTGGAAAGAGCTGTTACATACGCTTCTCA